GGAAGCGCAAAAGCGCGAAAACAAAAAAAACATGACATTATATTTTCTTATTCATAACAATCGTCAAAGAGAGTTAAAAATGTTGAATATAGTCTGCTCCCCATTCATTTGACCCTGTTATTTCAGGTAGAGTGAAGACATTCTCCTTCTTTTGATCAATACTTTTGTGTACAAAACAATGTAAGGAACCGGTTACCCTTTTGTGTACATATCAATACCAATGCTGAAGCAGCCTATATGTCATTCCTATAAACGATAACTCAAAAATCAGGCACTTAGTTGGTCAGTTTTCACACCTGAGTTACCTGTCCTTAAAACACAACATCCAAGTAGTCACTTACAAAAAATTAAATTTTTTAATGATTTAATTAAAGGTATGCATAAGTTATTATCTTTTTTGATAATTTCATGTACCTATAAATCAATCTCTGAAATGTTTTTTAACATATGTGCAAGTTGAAAAATTAGTTGAAAGGCCTACACAACATCGTGCTTCTTGGGTCTCCATAACCGTTTCGTTTTCGGATCAATTCTTTTAATTGCAATGATCCACTTCTGCTGTAACTCTGGATCTGATGGGAATTTATGTCCTCCTGAATTATGGCATCCTGGGACACAGCAATACTGCGGCATTGTTGATTTAATTGATGTTTATTGATAAACTGAATTTTGTTTACATGCTTTTCAAGCGTGACGCGAAAATCAAACGCTCAGCTAACCACCTCTAGAACCGTCGCGCCACCTATCGCGGGAAAATACGAGAATGAATCCTATTCCTGGCGCAGACCTTTATAAAACATAGTCCTCAACATGTCATTGGCATTTGCTGGGAAAATCTTTCCTTTCTTAACAGCCTGGTTTAGAAGTTCCTCCAGTCGAACACGCGCAATCCTCATCTGATTTTTGTTTAGCGCTATAAAATTCCGCAAGAATGTCTTCAGTGCCGAGCACATTTCCATATATGCTGTCAAACTTCTGCAGAATTTCCTCAATGGTACTGACTGGGCCTAACCTCATCATCACATTTGCTGGTTCACCTTTCACGGATCTCCTTATAGCGTTCATGATGGTATCCTTGGAAAATCCTTCTTTACTTAAACAAGTAATCTCATAACGCCACAGTTCATATGAAGAGTCACTCTTTCCTCCAGAAAACATGGCAATCCGCACGGGATGTTTAAATGGAGTAGTAAAGTCCATCGTTGTGTTGGAGAAGGGTGAAAAAGGTTCTGGCTTGATCGGTGTTTTGGGTGTCTTAGGTATAGCTCCTGATTCTTTACCAACTGCGACTACCTCGAACATCCAACCAAGCAGATCCGCAGGGGTATCAGCTTTTGGTTTCAGGTTCATAGCTTCCAGGGTTTTCATCAACTGCTCTTTCTCTTCCTTCGACATAAACGTTCCTGCAGTTGCCCCTTCTTCATGTTCTGTTGTAGACTTTTTGTAGGACATGCTTGTTGTGTTGAACCACAATGATATAAAAATATACAAAGATAATAATTCATGTACAAAATTCAGGGTAATAAGTGGCTAGTCTTTCGGAAGACTAAGTAAAACACAGGGCAAATGTTGGGCAAATAAATCTAATTTTAATTATCCAAGTAATAAGGAGGGTAGTTCAATGTGAACGTGTCAAAATATGGGCTATCAAATCAATTTATAAATTCAGTGCTGAAAAATAAATGAATCAGAATTTGCTGAGGAGGGTAAGCTCTAAACAGAACTTATAAACAAGGGAAAACGAAAGTAGAAATGCACATCCGGTAGTACCTTGCACTTCCGGTAATGATAAATTATGCACCAAAGTTGTATAGTTGTGAAATCAGCTGTTCAACAAACAAAATTTACAAGTCAATAAAATACCAAAGTTTACCTGTATACTCCGCTGTAAAATAAATCAGGGCAAAAGGGCATTCAATGATGTTTCAATAAACACAAATTTCAAGTGAAATATTCAAGTATTCTAAAGAAATAAACACAAGAACAACAAATTTCGATAAACTTTGTCAAAAAGCGTGTTTACATTTGTAGTTTCCGGTGACAGTATAATCCGAATATCGAGCTCGATCGGTAAACGAAAAGAAACCGAACCCGAACAGTTAACTGTAAAAACGGAAGTAGTCAAACGAAAAACGAACCCGATCTGAAAAAAATGTCAACAAAACAGCATGATTTCTGAAAGCTGAAAATATCAGTATGCAAATGGAATACTCTGAAAATGGATAGAATTAATTTAAACTGCTTAACTATGCTACTTTACACAACTATGCAAGTAAAATGACACACTTTAACCCAACTTCAATCAACTGATACCTGTTTTACTAAAACAACAAACCAATGCAACACTACCACTTCAACTACCACTGTAAAACTCAACACCTGTAAAATATCTGTGTATTGTCAGTCTACAGTCCTTTTCGTCAAAAGTAAGATAGATGAATTATTTAACTACATATCTGTTATTTAAGTAGTAATAGCTGGGAACAAAGGCTAAAGGGTAGGTAATGTGCTATATAGAAAAAGGATACTTTTACACTACACTTTCTTACCAAATAATGAAAATGTAAAATGAAGTTTAAATGATTACAAATTTAAATAAGCTGTCAAATAATCAGAATTCTAAATGATTTTAGGAGTACTCAAATGTTTACAAATAAAAAAATAAATTACACTGAAATATGAGACAGGGTACCTAAAAGTAACCAGAAGTCTCTATCGAGACTGTAGCTCTACTGGTTTGTACTGATCAAAACCCGATGCACAGAATTTTGTATCTTGTGTAGTCTACTTGTGTGATAAGTTATATTGAAATCAGACCAAAACTGTAGAAGGAGTAGCATTTTAAAGGAATTCCACAGAAAATTCTACTTTTAGTAACCATAGCAACACCGTGCATTGAAATCAAAAACCGATGCACTATTATATGTAAATTAGTGTAGTTTACTTGTGTGCCAAGTGATAATGAAATCAGACCAAAACTGTAGAAGGAGTAGCGTTTTAAAGGAATTTCTCAGAAAATTCTATTTTTAGTAACCATTGCAACACCGCTCATCGAAATCAAAAACTGATATACTAAATTATGTATCTTAGAGTAGTCTACTTGTGTTCCAAGTGATATTGAAATGAGACTAAAACTGTAGAAGGAGTAGCGTTTTAAAGGAATTTCTCAGAAAATTCTCTTTTTAGTAACCATGGCAACATCGTTCATCGAAATCAAAAACCGATGCATTATTTTATGTATCTTAGTGTAGTCTACTTTTGTGCCAAGTAATATTGAAATCAGACCAAAACTTTAGAAGGAGTAGCGCTTTAAAGGAATTTCTCAGAAAATTCTATTTTTAGTAACCATTGCAACACCGCTCATCAAAATCAAAAACCGATGCACTATTCTATGCATCTTAGTGTAGTCTACTTGTGTGCCAAGTGATATTGAAATGACACTAAAACTGTAGAAGGAGTAGCGTTTTAAAGGAATTTCTCAGAAAATTCTATTTTTAGTAACCATGGCAACACTGTTCATCGAAGTCAAAAACCGATGCACTGTTTTATGTATCTAAGTGTAGTCTACTTGTGTGCCATGTGATATTGAAATGAGACTAAAAGTGTAGAAGGAGTGGCGTTTTAAAGGAATTTCACAGAAAATTCTATTTATAGTAACCATGGCAACATCGTTCATTGAAATCAAAAACCGATGCACTATTTTATGTATCTTAGTGTAGTCTACTTGTGTGCCAAGTAATATCGAAATCAGACCAAAACTGTTAAAGGAGTAGCATTTTAAAGGAATTTCTCAGAAAATTCTATTTTTAGTAACCATGGTATCACCGTTCATCGAAATCAAAAACCGATGCAATATTATATGTATCTTAGTGTAGTCTACTTGTGTGCCAAGTTATATTGAAATCAGACCAAAACTGTAGAAGGAGTAGCGTTTTGAAGGAAAATCTCAGAAAATTCTTTTTTTAGTAACCATGGCAACACTGTTCATCGAAATCAAAAACCGATGCACTATTTTATGTATCTTAGTGTAGTCTACTTGTGTGCCAAGTTATATTGAAATCAGACTAAAATTGTAGGAGGAGTAGCGTTTTGAAAAATTGTTTACAGACAGACGGACGGACGGACGCCGGACGCATTACTATCGCATAAGCTCTTCTGGTCTCTGACCAGTAGAACTAAAAAAAAATAAAGAACAACAAAAAAAAAATAATTAAGACAGACAGACAATGTCTAGGCCGACTTCTAACACAAACTACCTTCACTCACCAATCAGCTGATCTTATGATTACATACTTATACTATTTACATATACATATATATACACTACAAATAAACTGCACTAGAATGGTCCATGAACGAAACGGTCCGGAATCCAGTAGGAATCACACATAAGTCTATGGAATACACAGTCACTACTGCACGATATCGTCTAGGCTCAAAGGTTATATGTTCATATGAAACTTAACAGTCTAAGCTCACCAGGGTAACGGAACCTGCAGGCTTTCTGTCATATCTGGAATTCTGGGTGTACGTCTAATCCATCGTAGAGTAGAACTGCGTCTTGTCCCTACATGGGCGCCAAAATATAACAGAGTTGTGACTTGTGATGGTGTGTCAAATAACAACAAGGCTGCTAGTTCGAGTTTTTTGACAAGACGATAAACTCTTTATTCGATGGATCAATAATCATCAAAACTGTTATGTCCATGTATTCCGGAACTGTATTATGTGTTCGTTATTGGTTCTCACTGTTACATGTTCATTCAATTAAAAAGTAGTTCCTGCCATACACACGTGTTTTCTTCATTACTGGTCAAGTGTGTTCCAATACACAACATTCGCGACGAGAAATGTGTTCAAGCCTACGCATAAATGTATGAGTTACTCGGATAAACTGTGTCGGTGAGTGTGACATTCTGATTCAGTCGAATTTGTGCAAGTAACTGTTCGGATTGTGTACCGAATTTGTTCTGTGTACCGGTCCACGTGCTTTCACAGTCATGGCAGGGAAAATAGGCCGAGTGGAACCATTTGATAGTGCAGTTGAATCATGGGATTCATATCACGAACGCCTTGAACAATATTTTATTTGTAATGAAGTTAAATCAGAGAAGAAAGTACCCGTTTTACTTACACTGATTGGTGGAAACACTTATTCACTGCTGCGAGGGCTCACGAGACCCAAGAAACCTTCAGAAGTATCGTATGGCGACCTAGTAGCGACATTACGAAAGCATCTGTGTCCAAAGCCTCTTGTCATAGCTGAACGTTTTCGCTTTCATAAGAGGGAGCAAGCAGAAGGTGAGACTATTCTTGATTATGTAGCAGCACTGAGGAAGTTATCTGAACATTGTTTACTTGATGAGGCTATTCTGGATGATATGTTACGAGACAGACTTGTTTGTGGCTTACGCAATGAGCATATACAAAAGAAACTTTTATCTGAGGCTGAACTAACCTTTACGTCTGCTACGGATATAGCCGTTGCTATGGAGACAGCAGCCAGGGATGCTACAGAACTACAGTCTAAGCACAGTCCTAGTGCAAGTGTACATAAACTACATACTAAAAAGAAGTTTCACGGATATGGAGGAACATCAGGGAAATATACGCCCAAGGGAGGAAAATCATGTTTCCGGTGCAATGGTGACCACAACCCACAAAGTTGTTATTACAGAGACAAGGAGTGTTTCAAGTGTCACAAGAAGGGTCACTCTAAACATGCGTGTCGCAGCCAGAAGAAAAATAAGATGAGTGTTCACATGATAAATCAAAATGACAGTTCAGATAGTAATGAGATCTACATAAAGACTTTAGAGATGGATATTAACTCCATGAGAAGATCAGATGATGTGATAAGGATCACACCCATAGTAAACAGTGTTAGTCTGGAAATGGAATTGGATACAGGAGCTGCAGTTTCTGTTATTCCTGAGAAAATATTCAAGGAGAAATTCCCAAACGTCAAGATGAAACCCAGTGACATTCTGTTAAAGACTTACACAGGAGAAAGAATAAAGCCCGCAGGTGTCGCAGAAGTCAGTGTGAGATACCAGGACCAGCGAAAGGACCTTAATCTGTATGTCGTGAAGAAAGCTGGAGTTACACTGTTTGGTCGAGATTGGCTGAAACAGATTACACTGAACTGGCCAGAAATAAAAGCGCTTGGAACATGCAAAGCAGAGAAAAATCTCAAAACTGTGTTAGATAAACATTCGAGTGTATTCAAGGATGATTGGGGAACCTTAAAAGGAATCAAGGCCAAGCTGACAGTTAAACCTGATGCAAAACCCAAGTTTGTAAAGGCCAGACAGGTACCTTATGCACTTAAACCTAAAGTTGAGGTAGAACTAGGGAAGTTGGTGAAAGATGGTGTACTGGAGAAGTGCAACTTTAGTGAATGGGCAACGCCGATTGTACCAGTCAGCAAGAAGGATGGTTCAGTTCGTGTGTGCGGAGATTTCAAAGTGACTCTTAACCCAGTATTAGAAGTTGACCAGTACCCTCTTCCAAGAATTGAAGATATATTTGCTGCTCTGTCTGGAGGACAACAATTCTCAATAGTGGATTTAAAACATGCTTACCTACAGATGGAGGTAGAAGAAGATTCACGTCCCTTACCTACGATAAACACAGAGAAAGGCTTGTATCGTTACAATCGCCTAGTGTATGGTGTTGCGTCTGCGCCAGCAATTTGGCAGCGTTCGATGGATATGGTGTTCAAGGACTTCCTGGAGTGAAGTGTATCATCGACGATATGATCATCACGGGCAAAGATGAAGCAGAGCATTTACGAAATTTAGACGCTGTGCTTGGCAGATTGGCAGAATATGGACTCAGAGTAAATTTGGACAAGTGCCAATTTTTCAAGGATAAAGTATCTTTCTGTGGACATGAAATTGACCGTCATGGATTACAAAAGACACAGAAGCTGTTGTAAATGCACCACAACCTACTAATGTGTCCGAGCTTCGTTCATTCTTGGGGATTGTGAACTACTATGCACGTTTCATTCCCAATTTATCTACAGTGCTTCACCCACTGTACAACTTATTAGAGAAGGACCGCAAGTGGTGTTGGTCAAAAGACTGTGAGGAGGCTTTCAAGACTGTTAAAAAGCTCATAACATCAGATGAAGTACTTACCCACTATGATCCAAACTTACCATTATGTCTTGCAACAGACGCCTCTCCTTACGGCCTTGGAGCTGTTTTGAGCCACATTATGCCCAATGGTGAAGAGAGACCAATTGCTTATGCGTCACGTTCACTCAGCACATATGAGAAAAACTACTCACAGATAGAGAAGGAAGCTCTAGGAATTATCTGGGGAGTAAAACGTTTCAACACTTATGTTTATGGAAGAAGTTTTCGTCTCATTACAGACCACGAACCACTAATCTCTATATTTGGTCCAAAGAAGGGAATTGCAAACACAACAGCAGCTAGGTTGCAGAGGTACGCACTGTTCCTGGCTGGCTACAACTATGATATAATCTACAGAAATACGAAGAAACATGGAAATGCTGACAGTTTGTCCCGCTTACCTGTCACGTGTGAGGGTAGCCGATTAGTAGACAAAGAAGAGGAAGCGGAAGTGGAGATGTTGCATGTCAGTCAACTGGAACATCTACCTATCAAACCTGAAGCAATCCAACGTGAAACTAGGCGTGATTACCTCTTATCGAAAGTTTACGATAATGTGTCCAGAGGTTGGTGTGCAAATTCAGAGTCGAAGGAGATGGATCCATACTTTACACGCCGTAGTGAACTTACTATTCACCAGAACTGTCTATTATGGGGAATACGTGATGTGATTCCGCCGTCACTACGAAGTCAAGTTTTGGATGAGCTACATCAAGGTCACATTGGTGTTGTTAAAATGAAAACCTTAGCAAGAAGTCATGCTTGGTGGCCAGGGATAGATCGGGATATAGAACTTTTGACAAAGAGCTGTGCTGGATGTCAGGCAGTAAAGCATGCACCACCAGCCGCACCTATTCACCCCTGGGAATGGCCATCTAGACCTTGGGAAAGGATCCATATCGATTTTGCGGGTCCGTTTCTCAATTCAATGTTCTTAGTCATTGTTGATGCTTACTTCAAGTGGCCAGAGGTGATACCTATGAAAACTACCACATCTTCCCAGACCATAGATGTATTACGTACCGTTTTTGCACGTAATAGCTTACCATCACAAATTGTAAGTGACAATGGACCTCAATTCACATCAGAAGAGTTTGCGAATTTTACCAGAGGAAACGGTATAAAACACATAACCTCAGCACCCTATCACCCCAGTACTAATTTAGCAGAAAGATTTGTGCAGTCATTCAAGATGAGTCTCAAGTCGAGTAAAAAGGAAAATGGTAGCATGGTGAAGAAACTCAATTTTCTTATGGCTTACCGTAATGCTCCACAGTGCACAACAAATGAAAGTCCAGCAAAACTATTCATGGGCAGAAACTTACCATCTCGTTTAGATCTCATGAAACCAGATGTCAGGAGGAAAGTAGAGGAGAAACAGTGTGAAGTGCGCGAAAGAAGAAAAAGTGTGTTACGTAAATTCGAACCAGGAGATTCTGTTGCTGTTCGTGACTACCGAAAGGATCATTCTCAGTGGACTTCCGGAACTGTGACAGCTCAGACTGGACCTGTATCATATTCTGTAGAAGTAACACCAGGAGTCACATGGAGACGACACGCTGATCAGTTGCGTTCTTCGAATGTGCCAATTCAGGAGGACTTACATATTCAACCTAGTAACACAGCTGTGAGTCAAGAACCAGTGAAGTCAAACATCGCGAAACAGAACTCACCCGCGTCCAATGCAGAATCATGTCCTTGGCATCCATCCAATGACGACAGTGCTATGCCATCTACTCAAGCCGTTCCTGAACCAAGATATCCGAGTCGTGTCAGGAAACCGCCCAAACATCTTGCAGATTATGTTTGAAGTGAAATGTGATACTAGTGCAGACTGAGGCATAATAATCCTCATGGTATCACAGGGAAACAAAAGTTTCTCATTTGTATATATGTTGCTATTAATGCTTTGTTCGTAAATGTATAGTTTACATTTGTATGTAATATGTTTCCGTGAATTACATTATGTACCAGCAAGGCACAGAAATTGCTGTAAAGGGGTAGCTCTTACTTCAAAACTTAAGAGGGAGGAATGTTATGTCCATGTATTCCGGAACTGTATTATGTGTTCGTTATTGGTTCTCACTGTTACATGTTCATTCAATTAAAAAGTAGTTCCTGCCATACACACGTGTTTTCTTCATTACTGGTCAAGTGTGTTCCAATACACAACAAAAACCCTATAATAAAATAACAAATCATAAATTCTAAGCATAAAAACTATAAAGCTATTATTCAATACACATGTACAAATCAATATATCATATAGCTTTATCCGAATCAAGGGAGATAATCCAATTACATGAAAATCACATAATAAAATCTCCCATTGCTTTAATCAATGAATATTTATAATAAAATCTTTACAATAATTATCATTCCAATGTATATATACATTATCAATTATTGCTTAGCATAAAAACAATTAACATGCATACCATTCAATGGGAATGGGTCATACACTATAACAGCGTATAAGCTGCACACACAAGACAGCTAGCAATATGACAATATCTCAATATCTACAAATCAACAATAAACATCTTGTAGATATCTACACTAATCATAAAATAAAGTTTACTTTAAAAATATGAAAAAGTGAGACAGCGCAATATATTTACTATTCACATAACTCTATACCTAAAGTCTCACTCTCACTAAACATTTACTCCAGAAAAAGTGATTAAAGGAATTAAGTGCAAAAATTACAGATTTCACATTTAATAAAATAGAATCTTATTACTCATTAGTATGAAAGAATTACTTACCATGCAAGAGGAAGTGTTGGTCTCAAAGTCAAATGTCAGGTATATAAACAAGACAGTATAATCAATGACAAAACTGAAACACCGAAACCAAACCAGAATTTTCCAAAAAACACAAAGAAAACTTGGAGGAAAACACAAAAACCAATAGAAAAGCATAAGGCAACACTAAAAACCAATGAAACTAAAAGATACAAAATGACCATGGCCAGAATATAATAAGAGCCCTGAGGCTAACTCTGGACCTCTCTGGAAAAGAATAATGTAAAAATCAATACACTTAACTACAGGTTAAATGAATAATTATGTAATTCAGCTGTAGAAGTGTGCTGCAAGTAAAAACATATATAATTAAATTAATTCTGAATAGATGCACATGCAATATGCATTGCTATGCACATGTGCATAATATATAAAAACATGAGTCTGTCACATAAGGCAAATTATTTCTCACTAAAATTTGTGAGTATTTTTGCAAGTAAGTGTGGTATTTAGGCAAAGATTGTGTATGTGTTGAGGGTGTATTTAGGAGAGGGTTTTTATAGATTGGAATCATTATCTTAACAACGCTTATAAAGGATATATCTTTCAAAGATACTTGTAGCTGGTGGCGGTGAATTTTTAGCTCTACTGGTCAGAGACCAGAAGAGCTTATGCAATAGTAATGCGTCCGGCGTCCGGCCGTCTGTCTGTCTGTAAACAATTTTTCAAAATGCTACTCCTCCTACAGTTTTGGTCTGATTTCAATATAACTTGGCACACAAGTAGACTACACTAAGATACATAATTCTGTGTATCGATTTTTGATTTCGATGAACGGTGTTGCCGTGGTTACTAAAAATAGAAATTTCTGTGAAATACTTTCAAAATGCTACTCCTCCTACAGTTTTGGTCTGATTTCATTATAACTTGGCACCCAAGTAGACTACATTAAGATACATAATTCTGTACATCGATTTTTGATTTCGATAAACGGTGTTGCCATGGTTACTAAAAATAGAAATTTCCGTGAAATACTTTGAAAATGCTACTCCTCCTACAGTTTTGGTCTGATTTCATTATAACTTGGCACACAAGTAGACTACACTAAGATACATAATTCTGTGTATCGATTTTTGATTTCGATGAACGGTGTTGCCGTGGTAACTAAAAATAGAAATTTCTGTGAAATACTTTCAAAATGCTACTCCTCCTACAGTTTTGGTCTGATTTCATTATAACTTGGCACCCAAGTAGACTACACTAAGATACATAATTCTTTTCATCGATTTTTGATTTCGATGAACGGTGTTGCCATGGTTACTAAAAATAGAAATATCTGTGAAATACTTTGAAAATGCTACGCCTCCTACAGTTTTGGTCTGATTTCATTATAACTTGGCACCCAAGTAGACTACACTAAGAAACATAATTCTGTCTATCGATTTTTGATTTCGATGAACGGTGTTGCCTTTGTTACTAAAATAGAAATTTCTGTGAAATACTTTCAAAATGCTACTCCTCCTACAGTTTTGGTCTGATTTCATTATAACTTGGCATACAAGTAGACTACACTAAGATACATAATTCTGTGTATCGATTTTTGATTTCGATAAACAGTGTTGCCTTTGTTACTAAAAATAGAAATTTCTGTGAAATGCTTTCAAAATGTTACTCCTCCTACAGTTTTGGTCTGATTTCAATATAACTTGGCACACAAGTAGACTACACTAAGATACATAATTCTGTGTATTGATTTTTGATTTCATTGAACGGTGTTGCCTTTGTTTCTAAAAATAGAAATTTCTCTGAAATGCTTTCAAAATGCTACGCCTTCTACAGTTTTGATCTGATTTCAATATTACTTGGCACACAAGTAGACCACACTTAGATACATCAGATAGTGCAACGGTTTTTGATTTCGATGAACGCTGTTGCCATGGTTACTAAAAATAGAATTTTCTGTGAAATTCCTTTAAAACGCTACTCCTTCTACAGTTTTAGATCTGATTTCAGTATTACTTGGCACACAAGTAGACTACACTAAGATACATAAAATTGTGCATCGGTTTTTGATTTCAATGAACGGTGTTGCCATGGTTACTAAAAATAGAATTTTCTGAGAAATTACTTTAAAACGCTACTCCTTCTACAGTTTTAGTCTGATTTCATTGTTACTTGGCAAACAAGTAAACCACACTTAGATACATAAAACAGTGCATCGGTTTTTGATTTCAATGAACGGTGTTGCCATGGTTACTAAAAATAGAATTTTCTAAGAAATACCTTTAAAATGCTACTCCTTCTACAGTTTTAGTCTGATTTCAATATTACTTGGCACATAAGACAAGTAGACTACACTAACTTACACATAATAGTGCATTGGTTTATGATAATTACAAACCAGTAGAGCTACAGTCTCGACAGAGACTTCTGGTTGAAGTTATTTATGAGGAAAAGAATCAATGTGTCATGTAGATTGCCGACGTGCAATGATCTGATGCATGTGTACTGTATTTATTAGAGGTCCATATATCTCTTCCCTCGTCTGAAAAGTCACATCCACTGATATTTTCTTTTTTTACGATTTAAAAATGACGCCTTTACATCCGGTTATTATCGGCCGCAGCAGCGGCCGATCTATTTGTGATTGTGTTAGAAAGTGCACACGGGAAATGAGACGTTATTTTTATATTACTTCAATAAAATAATTCGTAAATGATAACAAGTAAAAATCACGAGTAAAATATTATTTTAAAAAATTGCTTAAACTTAGTATTAAATGTTGTTATTATATTTCAGTTTCATTATCATTTCTCATCAGATCATCGATAATTTATGGTTAATATAAAAAGAGTTAACATTAGCTACTCCCCAGCCTGGGAGTGTGTAAGATATGAAAAGAAATCGTCAAGATTTTCCGGATAAAAATGATGTGGTTCAAGTGCATAGTGAATGAAAAATTGAGGAGTTTTTCAACTACTAAATAAAATTGTTTTGAATGCATTTGGTCTACATCTACAAAGGACACATTTTTTTTTACATTTTGCACCGCGGCCTGCAGAAACCATGGGCATTATCACGTGACCAATATCCAGGGTATCAGCACGTGGTTCATCTTGACAAGCCTACATCTTTGTTTTGATGACAATAAATTCTTATAATTCATCAATGAACATAATTTTTTTTACATCGATAAATCTATTTATTAGCTAATGTGGTAAAGTCTATTTATTTAATTCTTTAAAAATACATGTATTTATTGTGCTTTGAAGACTGCATGACTGAAATAAAAATGATTCAACTATTTCACCTTTGAATATCTTGACATGCTTTCCTTGATTGTGAAAGAATTTTCTTAAATGCTTAATTTTGTTTGCGGCCAATTTGATGCTTTGCATCAATTTAACTTGTTCTCGAGTTGTGGAGTGCATCCTTACATGTACAATCATGTAGTGATCATGGTTATGATAAACCAGTATATCGATGATGCAATCTATCCAATATATAAATATGTCCCACCTGTCTGTTTACGCGGCAACGAAACTCCCCTCCTCAACGAAAGAGCACACCATGGGAGATAATCTCGAAACTTGCGTATTCAAATACTACTAGACACAAACAAAGATATGAAGATGAATGTACGTACAATATGGGCAGATATCCCATCAGTTATCATATTTATTTCATAAAACTCTTTAATGGGCTAGTCCTATTCACATAAGATGACCACTGATTGTCCAATGCACAACTGCTCAAAGAATAATCAATATCAATGGATGGATGTATAACGACGTTGTAAAATGTAAAATGATGGGTGAGAGTCTACGATATGAGTGTGACGATTACTGGCGGGACAACGACTTACTCGGTTCCAAAAGCTTCAAAAACACCATGACACTCAATAGGTATGATAAATTGACTCAGTATTTGGACGTGAATTAATCGGCGGCACGGGGATAACATGATTTACATACTACATGTATCATCCAATCAACAAGGGGAATCCATTGTACAGCGTAACAAATCAGAACATTTGGAATATCTACCAACACTCAACAGAAAT